GACACGAAAAAAAAAAATGAAAAAAAAAATTAAAAAATTATTTATAAAGTAAAAAAATATAAAAAAAATATATAGTCAATCTTCAATGTCTTGCCGATGTCATGGTATTTTTTTTCGGATTTTTTCGACATTTTTTTTTACGGTCAAAAGATCTGTGAAAAATCGAGAGGGAAAGAGTAGAAAGAGAAAGTAGAGAGATAGTGTGAAGGGCAAAAACGTAATTAGGGGGACGGTGATTAGTAAAAAGGAGGCGGTAAATAGCAATTCACTTTATGAAATGTCAAATATTGCTGAGAAGTAACTTTTTTATTTATTTATTTTTTTTTTTTGGAGGCTTCATTTTGAAAGCATATTTAAGTTAGTAGAGTAATGCCATTAGGAAACAATTTTTAATGCTACAAAACCAAATCCTCAGTCACAATTTAGTAAATTGTTAAATTGTGTCGGCTAATGCAACAGATCATCTCATCCACAGTAGTGTCGGTGGTGTCAATGCAATAAGAGCCGTTGATTTTGACACTATTTTTTTTTTTTTTTTGGTACAAGATTTTGACACTATTCAATTCACATAAATTGGTGCGTGTTTGTTTGATGTGAAAGTGAAAGATTGACATTTTTTGTGTACGTTACCAAGCTAAGCGCCTCGTACACTGTTATAAAAGGTTTTATTATGGAGCCAACAGTTGACTATATAGTGGAGACAACCTTTTATATGCGACAAATAAACCTACTATATTCCTTGATTACTTAAATAATATTAATATATTTATATTAATATGATAGGTTTATTTGTCGTATATAGAAGGTTGGCTCCACTATAGAGCCAATTGTTGGCTCCATAGCAAAACCGATGTTTATCAATTCTAACTTTAACTACTCGGTTTTGTTAGGAATGGAGCCAACTTTCTATATACAATAAATAAATTTATCATATTCTCTGATTACTTAAATAATACTAACATAATTTTTTTTAATATAGTAGGTTTATTTATTGTATATAGAAGGTTAACTCCACTATAGATAGTGGAGCAAACTGTTGACTTCATAGCAAAACTGGTCTTTTTTCTGTTGTTTTATTTATTTTTATTTAAAATAGCATTGTCCATTCTATCTTTAAATAAAAAGGGACCAAAAAAAAAAAAAAAAAAGTAGACAGTATCGCGATTTTAATTATTGATGAGTAGGTAATGTGAATTCATAAGGTCTAAACTTGAAAGTGAGATAATCTGCTCAGAGAGTAAAAGCAAAAGGGCCACAGTTTGAAATGTTGATGGGTTATATTTCGGTAGAAATGTTCCCTTATCCACGGTGGGCACATATTAATATGTTCGTCGTGTAAGTGGTATGCACTCATTGATGATGTATTTTTTAAACATATTAACATCACCAATGAGTGTATGTCACATATGCGGTGGGCATATTAACATGTACCCACCGTGGGTAGGTGAGCATTTCTCTATATTCTGGTGTTTTATTGCAACAATTAATAATGCAGTAAGGGATGGGTCAAGGTCAAGGTCAAGGTCAACACGGATGGGGCCTTTGATAATACGCCCGAGTTGGAGCCCCGACATATACTACCCGTTTCATACATTGGAAACTGCCGGATACGGGATGAGTCAAGGTCAACACGGATGGGGCCTTTGATAATACTACCGGCTTGAGTAGTGCAGGAGGTCTACTTAGAGATGAGTTTGGTAAATGGATCCACGGATTTGTGATGTATATTGGCTACTCCACCATTACGGGGGCAGAGCTTTGGGGACTATTGCAAGGGTTGCGTCTGGCGTGGGATCTGAGACACCGGCGAGTCGTTGTTGAGGTGGATAGCCAGTGCGCGCTGCAATTGGTAAGCGGGAAAGAGGATAGGCTTGGGAGCCATGCAGCGCTAGTAAAGGCTATTCGCAGCCTTTTAGATCGGGAGTGGAGTGTTAAGATTCAACATGTTCATAGAGAAGCTAATTTTGCGGCGGACCATATAGTTAGCTTAGCAGCCTACTCTTCGGTCGGACTCCATTGGATTGCATCGCCACCCATTGGCGTGGGAGGTGGCTTCAACATGATCTCATGGGGGTATCCTACCCCCGGCGTACTCTAGCATTATCGTAGTTTAGCTTTTAGGCCTCTGGCCTCCTTTGATGTAAAAAAAAATATATATATATATATATATATATAATAATGCAGTAAGGGGGCAAGGTTTTATAATTAGGCTTATAGTAGCAGTAGCAGCCGCAATAGTCGAGCCAATCAGCCTAACGCCGCCCATACTATATAACCAACCGCATGTGACATGCTGGAGTGGAGTCCTTTTATAAATTTTATTTATTTCTAATATATTTATATATATGTTGTGGTTTGCAATATTGTTGGCTTTTTTTGGAAATGAATGAAGGGTCCAGAACTCGTACTATGTTTGGTTTTACAAAATAAAAATAAAATATTTTCCCATGTTCATATACCCCAATTTAATAGTTGAATCAGTTTAACTGATATTTAATTTATCAATATTTTTAAAAATATATAATTTTTTGTAAAAAATTATATATAAAACCTTTATTAATGAAATATTTAGGCAATTCAAAACATTCAAATATTTAAACTAACTAATAACTAATAAGAACGTATATATATCCATTATATTTTTATGTGTTTTGTTATTTATAGTAAAAATACTTTTAAGTATATTAAATATACTAATTAAAAGAAACTGGCAGGTTTAAACCGGTCCGACCAATCAGTTTTTGGTCTGTTCTGACCAGTTTTGATTGGATTTTAATCGGTTCGCTGCAATCGATTCAGTCCAGCGAGCCAGATTGATCAACTGATTGATTTTCGATCCAACCGTTCAGACCCGCTAATCCAATCCAATTTTTTGAACGAGATAACTTCATGCACAAATGTTAAGTAGGAAATATGATATATTATAATATGAATAAACATTTTTTTATTAAAAAAAAATATGACAATCTAACTCTAACTCTACAAGCATGTGTGTGCCACATCAATTGCATTAAATCAAACTTTTATATATTATCAGTTTATCACTAATATATATCTCCCTTTTTTCCAAGTAAAATAGTATTGAGAACTCAATATAACCCCAATTGAAGTGTCAAAATGCCTGAATCAGCCCAACCCGACGGGTCGCCGGGTCTCAAAACATGAGCTCGAAACTGGCCCGATATGTAAGGGTTGATTCATTGAACTTGCTCGACCCATAAAAAAGTAAAAAATAATGCCAAAAATCTAGACCCTTTTTTTGGCCCAGAACCGACGAGTCTTAAAAAAAAAACCAAGACCCGAAACTGGCCCAGTATTACCACGGGTGCGGTTCAAGGACCCATACATACGGGGTAGTTCCGAGTCGACCCGACGAGCTGGGCCGACCCTAGCCACGTCTAACCCCAATAATATTTGATTCGTACTTGAAAACCGTAACAATCACTAGCTATCAGAATCGATTCACAAAGACAGTTGGATGGGGACCCTGAAATTAGCTTTAAGTTTATAATAATCCTATTAGTACAATACTCGTGTACTACACTGGTATTTGTTAAGAGAATTATATTTAAAATTAAGTAATAATAACAACAAAAATAGTTTTAGTTTTTAATTACTTTTTGGAAAAAAAATATATTATTGTTTATATTTAAAATAAATTAATTAATTTATTTATTTTGTATGAATAATATACATGTCAAATTGAAGCTTATCAAGACATGATTAATTTGATATATATATGAATAAATTTGTTAATAAATGAAAATTTTATTAATTTTTAAATATATTTATAATTTAAGTTAGTAAGTTTGTTATAATTTTAAAAATTAATGAGAAAAAAAA